AGGAATGCCCTGCTCTGGGGTCTGTCCCTGCTGCCCCCCTGCTCAGGGTGCTGAGCCCCTGCTGTGGGGCTGCTCTTCCAGCCCTGCCAGGCAAAGCAGGATCCAGACACTGTGCAGCTCTTTCCTGTAAGTCTGGTCCCAGTCCCTTGGTGCCCGAGCTACCTTGGCACTGTTGCACAGCTCTGGTGGTCATGACACAGCCCTGCTCTGCCTCTGGCTTTTATTAGCTCTGCCCTTGCTCTGCAGTGAGTTCAGCCTCTATTGCTGGGCACTCGCAGGCTCAGCCCGTGCCAGTTGCACAGCCTGTTACCCAGGTGATGTCCCCGTGAAGCCAGCTGCCCCAGCAGTGCTGTGGGGCTGGCACTGCCCAGGGTAGGGCACTGAGCTGCTTCTGCAGCCTGCCAGGCTGGGCAGAAATAGCCTGGAGGGTTTGCTGAGCAGGAGGGCTGCAAGCCCTGCTCCCTTTCATCCCTGCAGACACGGGCTGAGCAGGGAATGCAGAGTGGCAGCCAAATGCTGCCCAGCTCTGCCAATGTTTTTGATGCCTTTCTGTTTCTCTGGTGGAGCTCAAACCAGCAGCTCCAGTATTTGTGAAAGGGGCTGATGGGAACAGGCTCCCAGCCTTTTTTTTTCCCCCCGTATTCTTCACAAAGCAGCAAAGCCCACGTTATCCCAGAAATCAAAACAGACACCAGCTCACTGGATCAACAGTGCCTGTGGCAAACCCAGAGACACACAGTCTGCAGCTTCCCAGGCAGGGACAGACTCCTGACACCACCTGGTCTTTGCAGGACCTGGAGAACATAGTCCTCTTTGGACCAGGACTGAATCTCATCTGCCTGCTCACATTTGAGCCTAAATCCTCCCCGCTGTGCTGTGGTGCAGGCTGAGCTGGGCAGTTTCTCCAGCCACGGGCTGAGGAGCAGCTTTGGAGCAAGACTCAGGCTCTGCAGGTTCACAGTGCAGCTCATCCAGGATTCAGCTAAGAGAGCAGCTGTGCCCTGTGGTCCTTCCAAAGCAGAACCCTTCTCCTCCTGCCACTTCTGGACAGGTACAAGCTTTGCTCTGCACTGGGACAGATGAGAAATGATGCTGTGAGTAGGGCACTAGGGCCAGCTCCTGAGGTAGCCCACCAGAAGGGTGAATTAAAACTTAGCCACTTATCAGCACATCCCATGAAGCGTTCAGGCCTGCACAGACCTGGGGCTGGTGGCCAAATCAAAGCTGTGGAGCACAGTTTCTGCTCAAGGACTGCTTTACATGGCATCTTTCAGTACTGAGCTCACTTAGAGCTGCCAGAGATCAGCTACCTGCCATTCACCCCAGGAATGACCAGACACAGTCTGAAGGGCTCTCAAGCAGGGCCAGAGAGGTAAATTGCACACTAGAGGACCTGCAAGCCTGCTCTCACCTCTGCTGGGGCATCTTTGCCCCTTTGGTCAGGGGGCAGGCCCAGGTTGCCCAGGGAAGCTGTGGCTGCCCCATCCCTGGCAGTGTTGAAGGGCAGGTTGGATGGGGCTTGGAGCAGCCTGGGCTGGTGGGAGGTGTCCCTGCCCATGCAGGGGGTTGGGAATAGATGATCTTTCAGGTCCCTTCCAACCCATCCCATGGCTCTGTGACCCCCTGGCTCCCAGGCAGGGATGCTTCCTTCCCCAGGCTATGGATCCTGTGCCACTTTCCTATGGTCCCCCTGGAGGTGCAAGGACGAGCAGGGGGAGCGGGGCAGACGTGTGTCCTGGTGGGGGGCTGCCCCAGCCCCTCTTCTCCCCCCTTTTGCAGCAGCAGGAGGGAGAGGAGGGCAGCGGGGAGGGAGGAGCAGGGTCCTGAGGGCTGGAGGGTCCTGCCCCCCCGGGCAGCAGGAGGGGAGCCCAGAGCCCGGGGAGCCCCGGGCAGCTCCGGTAGATGGCAGAGCCACCCGGGGAGAAACCCGACACGGGCAGACACTCCCTCCGACAGCCGC